AAAGGCAGTATTTAAATCTTATAAAAGATTTAATATTTATAACCTGTCTTGTAAAATCCTTATTCTAACATATTGCATGGTCTGGCTCCAGAGTATTTTACTCAAGACATAAAGGCTTACTTGTCACATCATAATCTGAATTCTTCTCAGAGAGGTTGTTTACAAGACACGGCTTCATTTTAGATGTAACAATGCATTTTAATTACCACATCGAACCCGATTTGATTAGCAGATTCGCAGACTTTGTGGCCGTGCTTCCCCAGGCTGCTTCGAACCGAATAGAGGGGTGTGAGAACCCCTCTTCCTGGATGCGCACAGTAGGCTTACACAGTGTGCTGTGTGTGCCTTTGCTCTCACCTTGCATGTTATGGCCACCTACCAGCACTAGCAAGCGTCGGGATTGGCTTGCAGCAATAGACCTAAAGGACACTTATTTTCATGTCCCCATTCTTCCACGGCACCGGCAGTTTCTGTGATTTGCGTTCGAAAGCCAAGCATGGCAGTACAAGGTCCTCCCCTTCGGGCTCTCTCTGTCTCCACAGGTTTTCACTAAGCTCGCAGAGGGTGCCCTCGCACCCCTTTGGCTCGCGGGCATCCGTATACTCAATTATCTCAACGACTGGCTGATTTTAGCCCAGTCAATTAGCCAGAGCAATTGACTATGCACAGGGACAAGGTGCTCCAGCACCTCCACCTGTTGGGGTTTCAGGTCAACCGAGAAAAGAGCAAGCTCGTCCCCGTGCAGAGCATTTCCTGTCTCGGATTGGAGCTGGACTCGATCTAGTGCTGAACTGTCTGAGAGAGTTCAACAGAAAATAGGTGGTCCCCCTGAAATCATTTCAGAGGCTCTTTTCAGCTTTGTCAGTTCAGTTCCCTGTTTGGTGAACCCTGCAGATTTCCTCTGAGGCCCCCATCATCTGATTCAGCGGACGAGCCCGTTAAGTTGTTGGCATGCCCGCTGGTCAGCCCGCATTCTGGGTATAGGTGCCTGCTATGTGTGATCCCCTGCTGGCCCCCCTTTGTTAAGGCGGGCTCATGTCTTCCCTCCCCGCTAACCATCCTCTGGGAGACAAGGTTGGAAGACTGCATCTTGCGGAGTTGTAGGTGCACGCTAACGCCGCCAATTCATTGTCATTTACTTGGCCCGATTTATACTCTTTCAGATGATTGGTTTCTAACGAAATACCCCATAGTGGAAGTTTCCACATAGCATTTCCATTCCCCTCTTTGGGAACGAAGGTTTACTTTAGTAACCGTAGCGATTCACATCAAGGATGTGTAGCCGACAAATCTGCAGCAACTGCATGATCCTATCATGTCAAAATTAACCAAAATCTCTGAGGAATATTTCCAGTACCTTGTTGAATCTATGCCACGACGGATTAAGGCAGTTCTGAAGGCAAAAGAGAGTCCAACCCAGTACTTGTAAGGTGTATCTAATGAGTGTATAAATGTTTTTATGGACAGCATGATGGCTTCAATGTGTTTATTTAATTACTGTAGTTAGTTGTAATATCACTAAAAGTAATAGTTCTGATATTTTATTAAAGAATGTAATATTATTTAAGAGGCATACTTTGGTACTGATAACAACATAAATAAATGGATGGCATTTCATCAGTATCCACAAATTATTGTTATTTTTAACAATTAGCAAAGAAGTAGTCATTTTGATTTAGCTTCAAGATGTTTTGGGTTTAAAAAACTAATTGAAATGTATCATTGGCATCCTTTAAAAAAAGGTTACAAATTTGAGCAATTAAATTGCTAAGATGTACCCTTATGCCACTAAAAAGCACAATTTAAGTGTAAATAAGATACAAAGGAGTCACTTTTGAAAAAGTACTATCTCAGTGAACATTCAAGATTTAAAAAAATGTGCAGTTTGAGCTACAGCTCCCTCTAGGCATTGGCTCAGGGAAAAGCATGCGGTTCTGCAGCCAAGACATGAGTCACATGCAGATGATCTCAATAGGAAATAACCGATCATATCTGATTATATAGGCTGGAATTAATCAACAGGCTTAATCAAAGTAACATGCAGTATAGAAAAGAGCTGAAAAACATTTCTTTACCACAGGCAACACTCTGTTTAGCCTGTAAATCACTTATAATGAGTAAGGCTCTGGTTCTTGAATGGATTAGCTCTGAAATAGGCAACAGAAGTGAACTGATTTTAAAACTCGTTCTGTAAAATCATCTCAAACTGAACTGTCCTGTATCCTTGGGTAAGCGGTGAGAATGATTTCACCATTAAACTAACCCCAAAAGAGCCACAAAGGCCTCAGTCATAGCATGCCAGCAGAAAAACACATAAGACTGGACCACTCATACAAATGCCAAAAATTAAACCGCAATGTAAACATAAATGCAGTGTTTTGATTGGATGCACATGTGCACGTAATATATACTAAATAGATTTATGCACACTTGCTAAGAAAGCATTGAGATGGAAGAGGAAGGTCAGTATAATGAAGTGTGGATTTATACTATAATAATGCTATTTCATTACAATAACTAATAATAATAATAATAATAATAATAATAATAATAATAATAATAATAATAATGACAATTTATTAAGATTAGAAATGAAATAAACCTATTTTGCTTTATCATAGATGTGAAAAAACTTTAATTTTGTTGCTGTTATTATTATTATTGTTATTTTTTTCTGTTTGTTTTCTGTGCACAGCCTACTGGCTTACAAAGTGAAATTCCAAAAAGCACTGGAAGGTTCTTCATTTCCTTCTGTTTAAATGGAAAATAAATTTGGCAGCTGAAGGCAGATGACAGTGTTTGAGGGAACAGAATAACATAAACGCCCCCTTCAATAACACTTCAGCTCAGGCTCAAAGCAATACTTGCAGAGTTAAGTCAGTGTTTATCAAACATTACCTGTCTGGCCTTCAAACAGAGTTCAAAGGACTGAGGGAATCCTGCATATGGGTCAGATGACACGCCATGCTCACTTGGATGTCTTGAATAAACAAAACTAAATAGCGGTAAAAATAAATATTCAAAAGATATCATATATATATATATATATATATATATACATATATATATATATATATATATATATATATATATATATATATATATATATATATATATATATATATATATATATATATCCCTGAATTATTAACCCCCCCCTGTTTATTTTTTCTAAACATTTCTCATTTCTAATAACTGATTTATTTTATATTTGCCATGATGACAGTAAATAATATTTTACAAGATAGTTTTTTAGGTCAGTCGTTGTATAGTGATGATTTCTTCTTTAGACTACCAAAAAAAAAAAAAAAAAAAGCTTAAAAGGGCTAATAATTTTCACCTTAAAAAGGTTTTTAAAAAATTTAAAACTTTTATTCTAGTCGAAATAAAGCAAATAAGTCAATCGGACATACTGTGAACATTCTCTGTTACACATCATTTGGAAAATATATAAAAAAAGAAAACTTAATAATTCTAATAATTCTGATATATATATATATATATATATATATATATATATATATATATATATATATATATATATATATATATATATATATATATATATATATATATATATGATATCTTTTCGAATTTAGAAATATTGAACTACTGCTTTTGTCTTCATGACATTTCCAGTGACCACACTCAATAAATTACAGGTTTGATTAATAATATATTTTTAAACATTAAACAAACCATTGTGCAGTGTAACATAATATATTTTTCGCACTTGTGATTGAGATTTTTGCAATTGCAGTGTTTTATGAGAAAATAGTAGCTGAATCTATCTACTTCAAAACATTCTTTAGAATGTTATTTGCATTTTTTGTAGTAAATTGTGAAATTTATTAAAACTTCTTGAGTGACAATAATTTTTGTTGTTTATTTTATTCTGTGTAAAATCCATAACATTTATAGATTATACATTTCATATACATAATTTCCGCTAGTTTCAGTTTTTTTCAGTTTGTCCATTAATACTTTTTCCTAAATATTTCTAATGATTTATTAAAAAATTATTATTTTTCATTTTAAAGCATATTATACAAATCTAATAACATGTGCTATTTTGGTTTATTTAATATCAGTTTCAGTGACAATTTGTATTTGTTTAACAATAGTCGACTATAAAATTAGCCCACATATTAATACAAATACAAAAAATAGAATAAATTTTTTTTAAAAATAATTACTAATATAATATAATATAATATAATATAATATAATATAATATAATATAATATAATATAATATAATATAATATAATATAATACACATAATATAACAATATAATATAATATAATATTCATCCACTATATATTTATTTAGCAGTACTGCAGGTCGTGCAGAACCTTGCTTTTGTAATTGTCATGGTTGATTTGAGTGCTAGGGGGCACTCTGACTTTTCAGACTATTGCAAGCCAAAATCATTGTCTCATCCCTATGGAAGGGCTTTGAAGTGTTGGACTAAAGCTAAAGTATCTTAACTAAACTAGACTCTTTCTCTCTCTCTTTCTCTCTCGCAGACGAGCAGGGTCTGTTTGGCTCCCCAGGCCCCCTCCAGCTGTCTGACTGCAACCATTTCTCTCCATGCTAGATGTTCCTGAGCAGCAAAAAGAAAAACATACTGCCTGCAAAACATACTCCTCTTTCTCACAGACTCAGTGACGTGACACTGCAGTCCATCAGTCAGTGGCCTAAGGCTGTTTATGCAACGCTATATGGTTTGCATAAGCATTAACAAATGATTCTACATCAGTTAAAGATTACAAATAGTCAAGCCATCAATGCATTATGTGTTGTGCATTAAGAAGATCTTAACTTTAAACAGCATTGCCTTTAAAGTTCGCCTTTTCTCAAGCTGCCAGCACACATGTTTCTAACAAATGTTGTGTGGTGGTTAAACTCCAACCATAAGCTTCCGAGACAGGTTGGGGGGAAAAAAGAGAGTGCGAATAAGCCGTATGGAAGAAAAAGGCCATCGCTGCGTGAGGAATGTTTCAGTAGCCGGGTAAAACTTCACGAGCTGCCATGCAGTGTCCTGTGTAAGAGTCTGAAGCGATTGAGTGGACAAATCTACTGTTAAGAGGCTCTTCTGAGAGAAACTGGTCGATGAAGAGTGGCAAAAGGTATGCACATTCTTCATGTACTGTATGTAGATGATGCATGTGCTAGCAGAATGACAAAAGATAAAGGAATAGTTGTTTTGAACGTAGCCATTTTTAAAATGTTTTTCCTGAAACTGACACTGAAATAGAGGCATTTAATGAACATTTTCATGTCTTTTTTTTGAATGTCTTTTTTTCTAATTATAATCAAGACTTTTACATGTGAAAAAAAAAAACAGTTTAATTATGAGTAATCCTTTTTTGACACCTTCATTCCCCTATTATGATTTAGTATATAGTTTTGGATATTACTAAGAGCAGCTGCATGCACACTGATATAATTTGCATGTATGTTTGACAGTCTACACTAACTGGCCACTTTATTAAGCACACCTTTCTAGTACCGGGTTAGACCCCCTTTTGCTTTCAGAATTGCCTTAATCTGTTGTGGCACAAATTCAACAAGGTGCTGGAAATATTCCTCAGAGATTTTGGTCCATATTGACTTGATGGCATCACACAGTTGCTGCAGATTTGTCGGCTGCACAGCCATGATGCAAATCTTCCGTTCCACCACATGCCAATGGTGCTCTATTGGATTGAGTTCTGGTGACTATGGAGGCCATTTGAGTTCAGTGAACTCATTGTCATGTTCAAGAAACCAGTCTGAGATGATTCATGCTTTATGACATGGCAAGTTATCCTGCTGGAAGTAGCCATTAGAAGATGTGTACTCTGTGGTCATAAAGGGATGGACATGGTCTGCAACAATCCTTAGGTAGGCTATGGCATTGACACGATGCTCAGCTGTTACTAATGGGCCCACAGAAAATATCCCCCACACCCTTACACCACCACCAGCCAGCCAATCTTCTGTTGTCCAATTTTGGTGAGCCTGTGCGAACTGTAGCCTCAGTTTCCTTATCTTAGTTGACAGGAGTGGCACCAGATGTGGTTTTCTGCTGCTGTAGCCCATCCATCCATGTGTGTGTTCAGAGATGCTCTTCTGCATACCTTGGTTGTAACGAGTGATTAATTTTAGTTGCTGTTGTCTTTCTTTCAGCTCGAACCAGTCTTGCCATTCTCTTCGGACCTCTGGCATCAACAAGGCATTTGTGCCTACAGAATTGCCACTCACTGGATATTTTCTCTTTTTTGAACCATTCTCTGTGTATACCCTAGAGATGGTTTTGCGTGAAAATCCCAGTAGATCAGCAGGTTCTGACATACTCAGACCAGCCCATTTGGCACCAAAAACCATACCACATTCAAAGTCACTTAAATCACCTTTCTTCCCCTATTCTGATGCTTGGTTTGAACTGCAGCAGATTGTCTTGACCATGCCTACATGCCTAAATGCATTGAGTTGCTGCCATGTGATTGGCTGATTGCGTTAACAAGTAAGTAAACGGGTGTACCTTTAAAAGTGGCCGGTGAGTGTATATCCTTTATAAATTAACACAGCAGTGTTTGAAGTTAAAGACACAAATGCATATCAACATATCTGTAAAAACAATCAAAGAAATAGTTACCATTTAATAATTTTCTCAAATTTGTGTCATGCAACATTACTGACAGATCCAATATAGTCAGTAGCATCTTCTTTCCATTTTTATGAAAAAAAGGTTGTGCTTGTTCCGCGTAGCTTGCACTGGCTAAAGCAGGTTTCACACTGGATGCAGAAAGCATTGTGCTATAAAACCCATTCATTTCAATGGCTTAAACATGCTCTCACACAGCAGAATGAATCTCCGATGAATTTGCGCACACACAGTGGTCAACGTTTAAAATGCCTGCTACTGTAGCTCTCTGCAACTCTCACATGGTCACCCACTAAAGTTAAGCAAGGCTGTGCCCAATCAGTACTTGGAAGAGAGACTACATGGGAAAGCTAGATTGCTGCTGGAAGGGGTGTTGCTGGGGAGTCCGCGAACCAAAATATGAACTATTAATAGTCAATAAAAGGGGCACATCAGTGAAAGTGAAAGTTCACAAGTTCTTACTGACATTCAAAATCAAACAAAAAGTGCTCAGGGGTAGTTTAAAAAAAAGTGTCATTGCTCTTTGGGTAAGGGATTCATCAGAATAAACAGCAAAAAAATAAAAATAAAAAAATAAATAAATAAATAAAAATTCTTATTCCATGTCAATAAGGTTTTTTAAATATTTTTTCCCAAATCTTTCTAGCGCCTGCTTTTTGCTGTTTACTGCATCTTTATCATTTTATTTCTGCATAATTCTCCATTTGCATCAATCATTTTTACCGGTTAAAAAGTCACTGATGTGAAGTAAGCATGATCTTCTGTGAAGCCACACTATTACATAATAAAGGGGCACTTTTACAGTCATTCTGGCAGTTCAGTTATCAGGCTATCAGACTAACAAAAACATTCTGAAAACTGTACAAGATTTTTTTTTTTATAGTATAATGAATATATACATATCTGAGTTTATGACCCTTGTAAGATCCATTGTTTATATTAGCAAAATTAACTAGGAATGCAACAAGTCTGCTGTTTATTGTTACTTTTAAGACCCATTCACACCAAGAAAAACAGCTAAACTGGCAACCAAACAGACACATGGTTTTGATCTGTTTATTATAAGCATGTGATGCAGTTATGCCATCTGCTGGTTTAAGTGCTCAAGCTTGTGGATTATAATCAGCAGCCAATGTTTATCATTTATCATCTAGGAAATGTTTTGAACTGGGTTTCAATAAGAATGTAGGCTAGTTATCATTGTGAAGATTGCTACTGTATTATTTCAATATTATATATATATATATATATATATATATATAGTATCAATGTTGACATGGTTTTATCATCCGTTTGCCTTATTTTGTGAAAAAAATACCTGTTATCTTTTTGTAAACAGCTTCTTTGGAGTTTTTAATTTATTGCTGCTAGACAAAAAAGCTTCCTAAACTCTATTAAGAATTACAAATATGTTTATATACCTATTTGTGTGTTCATCTAGGTAGGCGGACGAATGGATTATAGGTCAGTTTTTTTGTTACTCTCTGTGTGTGGGCTGACTCGGGCCTTCACAATGGATTTGGACTATGGAGGTGTACCCCTCTGGATCAACCGTTTTCTAGGAGAGCCGAGCGTGTTGACTTTGAAAGACCGGATAGATCCAGGCTGGTATCGGGCTGTGAACACACAAAGTTGTCCTTTGGAGTGCGACTGCCCAATTCAGTGGCCGACAGCCATTTATTGTGACCACAGAGGCCTTAACCAGCTTCCCTCTGGCCTTCCCTTCCGCCTGCAGTACCTGTTCCTCCAAGGCAATAATATTACTTCCCTTGGATCCAGAGCGTTTGACAATACCACCTACTTGCGCTGGTTGATCTTGGACCACAATCAACTATTGAGTGAGCAACTTGATAATGTGTTGTTCTCCAGTCTGACCCGCTTGGTAAATCTGTTCATAAATCATAATAACCTGACTAAAGTGCCAGCCGGACTGCCAAGCGGACTGAAACAGCTGCGACTCGCATACAATCACATTGAAAAGATTTCTGAAGGTGATTTCCAAAATCTGGACAGTTTGACGTTAATTTTGTTACAAGGCAATCGTCTGAAGACTATCGAAGAGGGGGATTTCAAAGGTATGCAATATTTTCCTTTGTTGGTTTTTCCTAGATCCCAAATTTTCTAAAGATAAACCTAGAAATAAACTAATTTATTATCCACTAACCAATAAATTACTTATTTAAATATGTATTTGTCTAAGAATAATACATTGATTGACTGGCTTCCAATGTTTATCATTCTCATCTAGAAATTTTTTTTTACTCTGCCTGACATATGTAATATGTATCATATTTATTGTTGAACAGCCCATAAATTGTGCAATTTGTCTAAAAGTTTTCAAATGATCCATGTAAATGATTTAAAAATGATTTAAATGTAAAAACAAATGGATGGATTGATAGATGGATGGATTGATGGACAAATTTATGGATGAATGGATGGATGGATGAATGGATGGATTGATGGATACATTCCAAAAAATGGTGGAAAGAGATATTTTAATGTTTAAAACAATGCTTCTAATCTATGGCATCAGTGTTAATAAATCCCTTTAGAACCTTTATTTTTAAAAGTGTAAAGATAGATGGACAGACCTCTGATATCTGATCTAGTAATCCATATGGGCATACTGTGTGAGATCAATATATTGTGCATTTCTACAAAAAGGATCTGTGCTAACTCACTTTATGACTTTATCTCTCTTGTTCTCCACCAGGTCTTGGAGCCCTCAACCTCCTGGATCTTAGTCACAACTTTCTGGACACTTTCCCCAAACATCTGCCTCCATCTGTCCAGCAGCTATATCTCTCCAACAACTCTCTGACTGGACTGTCTGAGAACAGCCTTCATGGCTTCAGTGGACTTCGCTACCTACGACTCGGACACAACAAGCTGAGGAATGAAAGGCTTGACCCTGGAGCCTTTAACCTTACGTCTCTGGTAGAGCTGGACCTTTCATATAACCGGCTGACAGAAATCCCCTCAGTTCCAATCACCCTTCAGTACCTCTACCTTGAGGTTAACCACATCCAAGGTGAGTTTATATGAGGTTCTTATTTTAGACCAACCAAAACAGCTATTCTATAGCTCTGCACTGCACTGCGATAAAGCAGCACAGCTGAATTTCACTGAGACAGAGGAAAAGTCTCATTCCAAAAAGAGTGTTTCATGCTTTAACAAGACACAAGTGACAAGACACAAGACAGAGAACATTTTATTTTCCTGCTGATGTTACATTAACAAAACATTCCATAAATTGCTCCAGCAGAACTTGGAGAGGACATGGCACTTAAATCTTACTGCAGGTTTTCAAGAGACGTTTCAAGATGTTTATAATAGAAATAAAGTACTGCTGACTGTCGTCAGGAAACCATGGATTTGGTCTTAAACTAGTAAATCCCCTCAATGTAAACGACACAATTTCACTTCAGTTTGGGTAACAGCTTTATTTGAATTTGAATTAAGGTAGCCGTGCTGGAACTTTGAAATTTGACGTTGAATTAAAGGAATTTACTACATTCTACAGGAGGCCAAAAAAGGAGAAAGATGCAAGAAGTAAGATAAATACAGTATGTCTGTGCGTGTGTTTAAATAATAAATAATAATAGAAATAATAATTCTAAAAAATAATAAAAAATATTCTTTATATAAATATTTGATTTTGGCCACACAATTAAAGCTTCATTTTTTTGCTTTTGTTTTATCAGTTTAAATCTTCAGCAGTTTAATAGTCACCTAAATAATGTTTAATAGGTCTATTATTGTACCTCAATGTCGAGACAGATCCACACACACCGCTGCTAGATGGCGCCACTAACTCGGTTAGTTCTCTTGTGTCCATGGAATATAATTTCCTCTGTAATTTAGTCGAATCTTCATTCCAATGTGATAAATAAACTACAAGTCAGTCAACAATTCGAACTGTAAAAGTATTAAGTCCAGTTGAACTGAGCAGCCTAATGTGCTTTAACTTTCCACACTGAAAAATATATCATACATTGCTAAAAAGAGTTTATCACTTTTACTTTCCTTCGACGTAGTCCCTGCTTTTTAATAGGTTTCATTAATTATATAATATATTTTTAGGAATGTATATTATCATCTAAACAATTTCAGGTGCTAGCACTAATTAAGACATAAGGACAGATGACTTGCAGAGGATAATTACAATTGTGCATCCTGGCTTTATGTATATTTAACAAATATGAATATTTAATGAATATAAAAATGTATTTATTTATTCATTTCCATAGAGCGCACTTGGTCGTGTCATGCAAATATGAAAGCGGAAAATATTTCATAATTGTGCATATGGTCAGCGGCTTTGTCATACACACACATTATAGGACTACACAATAACGTCCTAAATGACGTCCGAAATAAAGCAGTTAATGATCCCTCTTGTGCACAAAGATGAACAATGAAGGTGAATTCACGCATATTAGGGGTCTCCTCATTGAGCTCGGTAAATATGGAAATCTATATTTATGTGGAAGAAACACATCCCTGATTCTAAAATTGACCAGACAAAGGTATTCTAGGAAAAAGACAATTTTTTAATCTGGCTCTAAAATACATATTTTATTACAATCAATAATTAGCACTTACTTTTTTTGTTTTTAAATGTAACCAAGCATTGCAAACACTCCAGGTTAGGCAACTTGCAGGAGTTCAGATCATCAGTTCAGGTACATGACCTGGGCAAAACATTAGATCAGAACTTCAAATGTAATGAACATATTTCAAATGTGGTTGGAAATAGCTTGGACCAACTTCGCGTTCTCTCTAAAATGAAGTCCTCCCTTACTTCACATTGTCTAGAAATTGCCATACATGCACTTATAATCTCGCAGTTAAACTATTGTAACTCTCTTTGTTTTACAGCTGCCTAAGTCTCAGATCACTCGCCTATAGTATATGCAAAATGCATACTTTTAACAAAAAGCCCGAAATATGCACATCACTCCCATTTTGAGGTCTTTCCACTATTTCTCTTTGTGTATAAAGTCTTACATGGCCTGGGCCCCCATTATTTATCCCAACTGATTGTGGCCTATCCAGACACTTGCGTTCCTCTGATCAGTTTCTATTAAATGTCCCAAAGGCCCACCTCAAAAGTAGGGGCGAACGTGCTTTTGCCATAACTGGTCCTCGTCATTGGAACGCACTGCCGCTAGAATTAAAAATGGCTTTTTCACTGCTAATTTAGTATTGTAGTATGAAGACTGTAGTAGACTGTAGTATGAAGTATGAATGAAGTTTTGACATACTACATCCCCCCTTTTGTCATCATCAAGTGACCTACCTGTGTTAGTTGCGTTGCTTCACTCCCCTTCATAAATTCTCTCACGAGGCATCATGGGATAGGTCTCGTTTTTAATCCTGTTTAGTGTGGTCAACTGTGATAGCATCTTTTAACTAGGCAGAATTTTTTAAAAGGTCATTTACTTTCTTGTTTTAGGCATTAAAACCAAACTGTTTTTGTATAATCTATTTTACATCTTTTATTCTCTCTTTTACATTATGTGCCTATTGCTGTTTTGTTTATCTCCATACTTCTTGTTTGTATTTTCTCTGTAAAGCACTTTGTGGCAGTTGGAAACATGCTATTTAAATAAACTGAACTTGATCTTGAACCAAACATAAGATCAAACTGCAATACTAAATTCTTCATTACTTGAAGATTCTAATTCAGTTCACATTCTGGAAATGTAACGCTTTTAGAATGAGTTGAAATGAACTGTGAACTACACACAAATCTGTGATGAGAGAAACAATGCATAAAACTGAAGAGAAGATTTCAGGAACCTTTATACCTATAAATCTGCTACAGTTTTAAATATCAGCCAAGTGCAGAAAGGACTCTAAACACAAATCTTTAAACTCTCCAATTGCTTGACTGAGAGCCGTTCGAATGTTTGTGTCCTGATTAACAGTCTTACAAAATGAGGCCGTGTTCTCAGGCCCGATGAAATAATCCCTGGCACGATAGAATCAACATTAAGTCCCGGATAGGCCATGGGAAAAATGACGGAAAGTGCGACAAGCAAAATAACAAACTTTCCCTGCTCACTTTGGTTTCCTTTCCCCCCTCTCTCGCTGTCTAATGTGTTTGTCGCAGCATGCAGACAGAAACATCATGGAGAGATGCAAGGTGACTAGAAAAAGTAGGTTAGCTGAAAGAGTAGGAGGGAGAAAATAAAGAGGGAAGGTTTAGGAACATCTGTGAATACTCCAGAAGGAATCCACATGTGTTAAAAGCACGCTCTGTTCTCTCCCCTCCTCCTCAGCAGCAGGCCGAGCTCAGTTACAGCGAACAGCAAAGTCTTTAGCAGACATTTATTTTAGACAGAAGTTACACAGGATGCACTTTCTTTGAAGCATACAACAAATCTCATGTCATTAATTGTGGTTTACCTGCTCGAATTGAAATATAACATATAATATACTTATTCACAAGCCAGAGAGATAACAGAATTGGTTTGCATAACCAAGAATTGGAGTAAAGGAAAATGTTAAACAACCTGTCAGATCAACATTAGGAAAACAAGTAGAAAGAATTCAATACAGAATGTACCTACTTAATGAGCTACCAATAGTGGTTTACGACCTCAACGTGAGGTATAATATTCTAATTATTTACAAGGAACAACTTGTCAGACTTACCTTAAGGAAGCAAACAGAAAGAATGGAAAGAACTTTTACATTTAAATCATGTTGGAAAAACTGTTTACAGATATACATTCAAATGTGAGATTAACATTCAAAAAACAAGGGGAAAGGATGGACCATATTTTTTATTGGCTAAATGTGCTATTAGTAGTGGTTTACCAGCTCATTGTGAAGTGTAATATTCTAATAAGAGACCAAATGGAAAGAATGTAAATTAAATAACTGACTGTGCGCTTAACTCGTGACGAAAATGTCACATTTACGCACATAAATGCCAGAGCAAAGTTGTGTGGGAAATGTAGGATTTTTTTTTTAAATGCCTTAGTTTCAAGTTGTGGACCTACATCATGTCAGTAGATAGGGTACCATTGTTAAAAGTACACTGTTATGATAGATTTATGATAAAGTATAACTGACTATAAATTATATTTGCATACTTTGTTTAATATAGTATTACAATAATGTATTATTATGATATATAATACTATAATATAATAGGTCGCACTTTATTCTGATGGTCTATTTGTTGAATTAAGTTACATGCTAACTGCTGTAGTTGTTCGAGTTGCGTTGTTTTTTTGTATTTATCTCCAAGAAATCACTGAAGACATATACCATGTTATCATAATGATCTAATGTGGTAATAAGATTGTAACTATAATGTGCATTTACAGAGTGGCCATATTCATCTATGTAAACACACAAAAACAACATTAGCATTATGTCAAAGACTGTAAAAAGGCAAACCCCAGCCACTAGACTTTTCTGACAGGGTATTCCAGTGTCATTGAGTTTCAGATGTGAAAGTATGTTGTGGGAGTTGTTATTATTAGGAGTTATAGATAGCGAAATTTAGCAGTTTTTATCTGCAGCCAATCAAGATAGTGTATTCTGGGAAATTTTTGTACGCCTTGGTGTGGTCCTGAAAAATTTCCTTTTCAAGGGCTATTTAGCCCTTCAAATTAGCCCTACGCCTTCAAGCTAAAGTGAATTGTGACACCCCTACCCCTTCACGTGAATGCGGTAAAGGGAAGGGCTAAGGGGTAGAATTAGATGGACCTTACACTACACAACTCTATACTGCCCTCTATGTCTGACAGTGTGCATGTCTTAAATAAGTCCATCCCAGTTGTAAGTAGGTTCATTGTAACTTAGTGAGGTTCATACAACATTTGCTAATTTTAAGTTACATAAGCATGATTACAGTAGGTTATGACAAACAAAATTAAATTTTCGAGTTTAATATATTTCTATAGCACTTAAAGTCAACAAATGGCCATTTTTCACAGTGCAGTGCAGGTCTTGTAACATTGTGTAGTGGAACAGAAGCTTTATAGAAATGTTTGTACACGCCATGCTAATAAAAAAAAAAAAAAAAAAAAGATTAACTTTATAGAACAATCCTACCACAAGCCTTCAAACATATAAGATTTGCTATTTACGTTTCATTACTTGCTGTTCACACAACAGCAACAAAATCCAAATGTATAAATAGTCAAATTTAAAAAATAATATTAATCTTACCAACTCAAAGCTTATTATTGACAATTCACTACTGAAAATGATAATTTTATGATGATTATAACATACAAATGAAATTTTGGAAATAAGTAAACAACCTGTGAATCTTTCAAATCATACCTTCAGAAAATAAGAGGAAAGAATGTAAAAGAGAGTGTATTGTCTAGCTAGGGCCATTCAAAAGGCTCCAAGTCTGAGGGTGGAGACATGGTGTGCCTGTTTTTTGCATAGATTTCCAGAAAATATGATTATAATATTATCATTGCTGGACTTCTGGAAATAGAGTGGAAAAGCTAAAAAGCAGTTACACACCTTAAGTGCTTCATAAACGCATATTGATTCTCTGTGGTGAATACAGTTTTAATACCACCAGAGATAACTCAATTCATTCATCCTCATGAAACTCATAAGTTTAATATTAGCAGCCCAGACATCTAAATATTATTCTACCATCACATTTAGTATTCAAAACTGCATGAAACTTCATGATTTTCCCAGCACAGATGTCCTGATCTTGTGTTTTTACTGCCACTGAAGGTACCAGTTCCAGCACACCTGTAACTTATTTACACAGCATTGGGAAGCAGCTCCTGTTTATGAGGGCTGTATTTTGACAAATGGCTGTTTCAAATTCTCTGGAACAGCATGTCAAATTAATCGCTGAATATGTTGACCTCATTGTCTCGCTATCTCCTGTCGGCAATAAATAGTGGAAGTAATAAAGCTTAATACAGCTTACAATCACAGCCAGTAAGATAAGATGGAAGTCAAGAACAAATTAAATTAAATTAAACTAAATTAAATTAAATTAAATTAAATTAAATTAAATTAAATTAAATTAAATTAAATTAAATTAAATTAAATTAAATTAAATTAAATTAAATTAAATTAAACATTGCTACTAAATTTCAACACCCATACCTGATCTGCTATAACTTTTCTGTTGTCTTCTAGAGTTCAACGTGAGCAGTTTCTGCAGGACAGTCGGACCCACATCATATTCACGTATGAAGATCCTGAGACTGGATGGCAATAAACTGGAGTATCATAAGTTGCCTCCTGACTGGGTCTTCTGTCTGCGTGTTCTCCATAACATTTACATTTGATCTAACAGAAGCAGCCACTCTGTCTTAAGCAGCTCTAGATTTTACACCATACAAGCATGCAAAGCTATATCTTAATATACTGTATATTGCATTAGGAAGTGTGCCAGCATGCTAAACTACTCAATGTTCAAGCTAAGGTGCTGATATTTTGAATGCTCATGTTGTAAATGGTCTTGTACTCTATTTGTACTGTATATGAGCATACATATTTTGTGCAAATCTTGTGCTTTATCCTAGTGTTTATGACACATATTCCAGGGGTATAATGAAAAATAAACAGTTATTCGAGCAGATATAAACTATTTTTGAACGTTCTTCATCAACAAGTTCAGAAAAAAATGGTGTGCAGAAACATATTAAGCAGTGTTTTCATGTTGATGTTTTTCAAAATCTAAAATAACATGAACTGTTTTTTGAACTCCAAATAAGTATGTTTGAAATAATGATCAAGTATTATTTAGCTTAAAACTTCAGTAAATGCTGCTTAAAATGTATCAATAAAAATAACATTAAATGCAGTTAATGAATGCAGCCCTCCAAGTCCATTGCATGGTGCTTCACCGGATAAAGGTGGTTTGCCATCTACGGGTTGAAGGAAATTCCTTACCCCAGGTGGAGGAGTTCAAGTATCCTGGGGTTTTGTTCAAGAGTAAGGGATAAATGGAACATAAGATTGACAGGCAGATTCGTGCAACAGCAGCAGTAATGTGGTCAATGTATCGGTTCATTGTGGTAAAGAAGGAGCTAAGCCCAAAGGGCTCCCCACCTAGGGAGGTGTTCCAGGCATGTCCTACCAGGTGGAGGCCTGGAGGAAGTCCCAGGACATGCTGGAGGGACTATGGCCCCGTTTACAGTAATGCGTTTTAGTTTTAAAATGCATAAGTTTTGCTACGGTTACGCCATCTGTCCACACTACGCTGGAGTTTTTGAGCGCCAAAAACAGAGCGTTTTGGAAACGCTGGAGAGGCCGTTTTCATTTTGAAACACTGCTGCTCCGTCTCAGTGTGGATGGGGTAAAACGCAGACATCTGAAAACAAAGGCGGGGCTGCTGAGATTCGCTACCTGATTGGTGCTTTTGTGTCTACCAAAAGACAGCAGACCAGCCTTCACTGTAAACAACAACAGGGACACAAAAATGGGAGCGTTGTTTGCACTATTGTCTGTTTTAGGTGCCATTGTGCAGTTAAACTCTGCCTTTTTAACTACAGCAGCTGCATATATTCGCTTGAACGCGCATGCCCAGAGTGCGCAAATGGTCACGTGATATACGTTTTTGGTGGCGTTGTGTGGACGGAGATATGTTCAGAAACGCTAGGTGAAACGCTAGTGAGGACATGGATCGTTTTTGATCTAAAACACCGTTTTCAAACTAAAACGCATTAGTGTAAACGAGGCCTATGCCTCTAGACTGGCCTGGGAAAGCCTCGGTATTCCCCTAAAGGAGCTGAAGGAAGTGTCTGGGGAGAGGGATGTCTGAGGTTCTCTCCTGAGACTGCTCACTGCAAAAATAGTAGATGAAAATTAATGAATAAATGAATAAACAAATAAATGAATGAATGTTTCACTATATTTTGCCATCATCGAGACCGGATGCATTAACCCAATACTGTCATTCTTAGTTTAATGACAAATGATTGTGCTTTTGAAAGCTTCAGGAAAGGGCCACTATCCAACAACAAAAATATCATCCATCTGTATTTTTCACTATATTTTGCCATCATCGAGACATTCGTTTGTAATTTTAAAATGCATTTTACTCAAACAGTTGCCTTAAAATTAATTTCTAGAATTTAATTCAAATTTAAATGCCTTACGTTATATTAAAGGCAGCATGGTGGTGCAGTGGGTAGCACAATCACCTCACAGCAAGAAAGTCGCTGGTTCAACCCCCGACTGGGTCAGTGGGCATTTCTATGTGGACTTTGCATGTTCTCCTCATGTTCGCATAGGTTTCCTCTGGGTGCTCCGGTTTTCCCCACAGGTCCAAAAACATGTGGTATAAGTGAATTGAATAAGCTAAATTGTCCGTAGTGTATGTGTGTGAATTAGTGTGTTGGGATGTTTCCCAGTGATGGGTTGCAGCTGGAAGGACATCCTGTGCGTAAAACATATGCTGGATAAGTCGGTGGTGCATTCCTCTGATGTGACCCCAGATTAATTAAAGGACTAAACCAAAAGAAAATAAATAAATGTTATATTGATAGTGCAAATATTTTCACCTGTCTTTCACAGAAGTTTAGTTGTTTTCTGTTTTAATTAAACATCAAATATGTTGAAATACTACAAGACATTGCAAAATTCTCATATGATAGTTATCTAAGCTCTGCCTGGCTAATTTATTTAAAAAGGTCATTCTTAGTGCACCGCACTGATTACTGTCAATTATATAGCATCTGCTAACACTTAAAAACTGCTAAAATAATTACATTCTTTTTAAAATATATATGTTCAAACTGCACAAGACCATGTCTATACTGTAACACAATGAAAGGATTTAGTGAAAAGTACTGAACTTTGGACACAAACACATTCCACCCTGTCACACAAAGAGCGATTGTGGGTCCCTCTGTGAGTATCCATGAGCAAAATTAGTTTAGCCAAACCATAATGTGTCCATTAAAAGAAATGTTGGACTGTGACTATTACAGTGCTTCCCATTTAATAAAATTGAATATGGATATCATATTTAGTAGCCTGCACATCAAACAAATGGGTAATGAATCTATTTTTCTATGTCTTAGGTCATTAAAAAAATGTTGTGTATGATGTCAACAGATGCTGATATCTTGGAACGCCACATAGATGTCACATTCAAACGCTTACTATTCACAAAAGCCTAGATTAAAGACAAATGGCAAATTAACTTTTCTGTCCTACACCAACATCAACTTGCCAAAAATATACCAACATGATCTCATGGCAATTCGTAACTTTTTGATTTAGTGGCTAATCCGTATGATCTCATTTGTACAATTTAGTATGAATTACCTATCCTCCAATGATGGTTGGGTTTAGGGGCGGGGTCAGAAGCCACGCCTCCTTTTTAAAATCACACTTTTTTGTGTACACTCTGGACCATCCCTTTAAAAAATAGTAAATCCAATAATTATTGACTATAGTCAAGGTCCTGGTATTTGACAGCATATAATACAGTAGCTCAAGTTCTACAAGGAAAAACATAAAAAGGATGCTGTCTGCAGAAGCATATTGGCAGTACACTTTGTAATTGTGTGCATTGTTTTGGTCAAGAGACTGTCTGAGAGTGTGCAAAATAATCCACTATTGTATTTGGATTTATTAAGGCACAACCATTGCTTTCAGTGTGTATAGACAAAGTACTTAAAAGGCAGTGCAGAGTGAACTCAAGCACATCATCTTCAGGAGTACAGCTCATTGAAAGCAGTCCAACAGAATGAAGAGTAAATAACACAATCATCCTCAAACTAAACTCTCATTTCACTCAGCCACAACATATCACAATTGTCTTAGATCATGAACATTTCCCAAAATACCTCACGTTTGATCTATAAGTCTGAAGAAATGGCTCCTCTCTATCTAAACGATGTGAGTTAATGAACCGTGTGTTCAAGATGCCGTAACTCCCTCTGGGATCTCCACTAAGATTTTTGAAAGTGCAGAGCAGCAGTCGTGGATCAGCCAGGTTTGGACTTCACATTCCTCATTAGCAGAACCATGACAGAAGAAATATTGGTTCACTTCATCAGCCTTAATAAAAATTAAGATGGCTAAATCTGGATGACTATAGTCACAATCTAAAACCAAAGCCACTACATGCACAGTTATATTGATATACACATGTTTTGTTTTTTACAGTTTTACCAATTAAAAACTTTATAATAATCCTTATTAAATCTACAGCAACTTTCATATAGTTGGAAGCATAAAAGTTCCATAAACAAGTCTAAACATAACCAGGCAGTCTTTTTTTGAGAATCATGGGAAATTTAATAATATATAGCTGTGTTGTGGTAAAGTCATTAGTGAGGTAAATGACAGATTCATACCACCTCTGAAAGAAGAGTTGCTCCCTGAACAGACCTCAAAAACAGGGGTCCTACTTTAGCATATTGCAACAGTTGGTTAGAACTGCTTAGGAAAATATATATTGAGAAGCCCTACTGGCCTCTTTAAAAAGCGTTCTTGAATTGTAGTAACTCAATTAAAGGGGTAGTTAATCATTACCATTAAAACTACTCATCACTTGTTCCAGACCTATGTAAAAAAAATTTTTGCCATTGGTAGCTATTGAATTACATATATTTTTTTCTAGCTATAGAAGTTAATAACTACCGATTTCCAGTGGTGTAAAGTAACAAATTACAAATGCTCAAATTAATGTAATTGAGTGGTTTTTCTCAGAAATTTTAATTTACTTAGTAATTTTAAAAATGTGCTCTTTTTCTGTCCCTTGGGTAAATTTTTACAGCAGTATTGGTACTTTATTCCACTACATTCATTCATCATGCAATCACTTCTTTATTTTTTTCCTGTCTATGGGAATTAGAAAAATCTGTCCTGTGATTCCTGTCCAATCAAATCACATAAAAAAGTAACTTGCATCATACTAAACAACCTCAAGACATGGGGGATTTAGAAATGCAGCAACAGGTTTACTGTATGATGACCAAAAATGGCCATTAACTATAACTAAATGCACTACAGAACGTTATTTGCACACACACACACACACACACACACACACACATTACATGTAAACACATCAGCTTTTTACAGCGTAATACTTACTACTCTTAAGTACTTGTACAAGGGCTACATACTTTTAATATTTACAGCAGATACTTTTACTCCATATGCATTACATTTTTGGGCCAATGTTTCAGTGCTCTTTCCATCACTGCCGACATTCTTCAAATTATCTTCTCTTGGAGAAATAAAACGTTTGGAATGTTTGGAGGGCTGATTATATAGATAGTTTAATTGTTACAGTAGGTAAACAACCTTTTAACTAAAATCAACTTAGACAAAACATTAAGAACATTTGTGTAAATACACATCAAATCACTAAGCATTTTGTTGAAAATACACTTCTTAAAAATTGTGTTATCTTTTATAATGTACTGCATTTTTATTGTCTAATTTTATCTTTTTGTAGCTCTTTGGGTTATGAGAAAGGTTTATTGTCAAATAAACCACTGTCTAAATCAGTCAGTCACAATAAATAAATAAAAAAACATTCTGGGAACAAAATGCTCCAATACATGGTGACACTAACAGCAAGTCAAAATGTCCAAACAATATCAAGAAATG